ACCTTATTGGTCAGCTGGCTGTTGGCCTTGTTGTCCAGCAGGTATGTGACCGCATTCAGGTGACCGTGGCGGCAGGCAGCAATGAGGGGTGTGTCCCCGGTGTGCACCTCCTGAACATTCAGGTGGGCGGGGTCTTTTTTCAGGAGGAAGTACAACTTATGGACGTCGCCCTCGTACGCCGCCTGGCAGGCCGGCTGAGGAGGAAGAGGAGGAGTTACATGAGTTAAGCTTCGTGTTATCAGCTGATCAGGAACAACCCGGTCTGTCCAGTTTTCCACTCTTATCTCACTCACTCAAGCTCCTCCCCTTTTAAGACCGCTTTCTTCTGATTGGCTGATTCTCAACATGTAAAAAATTAGATCCCACCAGTTTCTCATTATTATTATTATTGTTGTTATTTCAATAAAACTATTGTGTAACATTTACTATCTTGATCTTGATTTCTTCTCATTTTCCTGTTTTTGGTAGTTTTCTGTAATATTTGCAGTCATTTTCTCGCAGTGTGTTGCAGTACTTCTTTTTTTTTAGTCCTTTATTTATCCAGGTAAAAAATCTCATTGAGATTAAAAATGTCATTTCCAGGAGAGACCTGGCATCATGGCAGCAAAAGTCACATACCACACAGGTATGTAACATTACTGCAGTCATTTTCGTGTCTGTCATATTTGTTGTCGGAGTGACGCCAGGTCATTAAACGTCTACCTGTCTGTTTGTTTCAAGTGAAGCTTTACCTGAAACTCAGGTGTGTGCACGAGAAATCAGCCCGAACCGGAAGAGCGCGCCTGAGCCTTTCGGAGTAAAGAGTTAAAACGAGGATTAAACGTGTTTGTTTAGCAGAGAAAAGAAGGAAACAAAGCGCGCTCTTACCTCCGAGTAAACCATCCCCATGACGGCACGAACACACCTGAGCACGTCACGGTCCGACACTTCAGCAATAACACATCCGGATCCATTTTCAGAATAAGAGTCTCTTTGCTGTTTCACTTCATTCCGTATATTAATAAACACACCAGAACACGTAGGTGAGTCCGGACGGCTTCCTGTTTCCACGTGACACTCGGAGGGCGCGCACGTGATCTCATGTGGTCTTTTCTTCCCACCAGAAGAACTTTTGCTTCATTGCCAGACC